AAGATGTGGTACCAAAGAGACAGAAAATACCACAGGGTCAGAAACTGCTGCACAATGAGGGTAAGTTGTGGGGAAAAGGGATGAAAAAGTGAGTTCTTGTTTCATTTTTATTCTGCTATTCTGACATTAACTTTTTCTGTGGTCTAAGATGGAAACAGTATGGATTGGTAATAATATTTCAGCACATGACACAAAGCCCTAGGCACTCGAAAAATACTTTTCATCATGTAGTATTACACAATATGTAGTGTATTTTTGTGGTTGAATTTTCATGTTGTCTTGAAATAATGATATTGGAAGAAAATAATAGCTCATTAAACATGTGTGATAATAACTCTGGAGTGTTAAAGGCTTAAGTACCTTTTAGGTGGAAATTTCTTTGTACTTCACAGGCTGTGGTCCTGTGATACCACTTAAATTCAGGCAAATCTGGGGATAAGATGGCCAATTTCTAGGACGCTGCAAATAGGATAGAAACCTCTTTTATAAAGGTGTCTTGGTTCTTAAAGTCTCATAAGAATCAAACAGAAAAATAGAAGGAAGCTGTTTTTTGAGCAATATCTTCTGTATAATGATGGGTATGTTAGATGAATGGATTTAGTTTGTATTATTTATTTCCATTGTCATGAGAATTGTTTCATGTTGTATCATTTCCTGCACTCCTTACAACCTTTGTTACATGAATAAGATATCAGAATGCTAATGACTAATATACAGTATTCTGTGTCTGCTGATACTATACTGTACTACTGTGACCTTTTTAATATTATGTATTCTGATTGGCTGTTCATTTCACCTCTTCCCCACAAGTTAATAAGGCTGTAAAAAGGAGAGAACTTGAAATCGCCAGCCAGTCAAATTACAGAATATTGAAAAGGTCAGAGCAGTACAGCACACAGAAAAAAATTATGGAATATATGAGGCATTAAAATTCTTGTGACAATGATTATAACAAGAATGGAAAAGGATACCCATTTATGTTATTTCAATCTAGTGAACCCCATAGGATGACAGACCCAGGACAGCAGTAATTTACGCACCACTGACCCACGGGAGCTTAATTCACCTATTTACAGGGGAGCTTAGTAACAGGAATGCACATCTGCTTGGGAACCCCCTGCAAATTGTCCACCCAAAACCACAGTGAACCTTCAAACACAACTACCCACCAGCTAGAATGCTGTTTGAAGCTTAGGACTTTTAAACAGTGATTTTGAATGGAAATGTATTTATGTGTCTTTTTAATATAAGCATGTTTTATTTCTTGACTTTGTTTCAAGTATACATAATTTTTAAGTATGTATGTGGATATTCTTTAGCCTTAATTTCTTCATTTGGATCTTTTCTTGAAAAACTGAGATACTTTGATCTGGTATAAACTATGAATAAACTGGGAACAATTTTTCTGAGGTTTTTCTTAAATAGCAGGCTTAGGGAAAAAAGGCCCTCAGATACTTTGGGGGAGATATGGAGAGCTGAGCAGGAAGGGTAGGAAAAGAACTAAACCATCACTATGCAAAAATATGGAAAGATTGAGGAGCTTGGGGAAGCCCTTCACGTCTGCAAAGGGTTTAATCTTTTTTAATAGCTTATAGGAGATGGTGGCTCTGAGCCTCCTCCCATTCAAATTCAGCTTTTGGTACAGTTGTTTGCAATGTCTTAAGTGTTGAAGGACATGGTGAACCAGATCTAGGAGTTTGTTTTCTGCCTCTTTAGGTTGTTCATATGTTGTGAAGAGACCTTGCTTGTTGGAGTGCTGGTGTATGTTCATGGCAGGAATTACAAGGCAGAGTGCAGGAACAAGGAGGTATTCTGGTAGAAACCACTTGTCTGAAGTAAAACAATGTCTTTTAGGACTTTACTGGTGTCTGAGTCACCTGCTGTTTAGATCTGCAGCAGACTTGCTGGTAGGTTACAGTAGGACCTGTGAGCAGGATGGAGAGAAAAACACACATGAAAAATGGAAAAAGAGAGGCCTCATCCACTTATACTCACAAATTGGGTCCACACTGAGGCAGGCTGGGCAGGAATGGCATGGAATGATATGACAGGGTTATCACTGTATCACTTTCTGTCAGGCTGAACCTATGTGTCTGCATTTTCCAGCCCACTGAAAGCTAAGTTTAAGCAGTGAGAAGTGGCAAAGCTGCATATTGCAAGTCAGCCCCAGCAAGACCTGCATTTTAAAAATGTTCTTCTAACATTTTACTTGCCAGCAACAGTAAGTTGGTTGGCTGGGAAGGGGGATAAAAACACCTTTTGTCTGTGTAAAATTCAGGTTAGGAAACTTGCAAAAAAGCCAAACTCCTTGGCTTTTTATTAGAAGCAATGAAAAATTTTGAGCTGCTGTGTTGTCTATCTCATTGTAAATTTGCAAGTTCATTTTTGAGCTGAATAAAATGGTTATGTAATTACATACTTCTCCTAATTATTGAGTAATTATATACTTCTTATAATTGCCGAGTAATCACTCTGCTATAACTAGAATTTAATGTTACAACTAATTGTATAATTACTGTATATTAATGTTGTTATCCAGGCAACTTGGAATAGAGTGTTATCCTTTTAATTCATATTCTGTTACTCAAAACTGTATTTTTAAAATATAGTATGGTTAGCCATTGGAAGAAAGATTAATAATGGAATAAAAATATCAGCAGAGGAAACACGTGTTTTCCTTCCAGGTTTAGGTGGATGAAAATAAAAATATTAACATGTTAGAACTGTACTGTGGATAGAAAAAAGTTTAATTTTCTCATGGATTTGGCATAAAAATTGCTACTAGGCAACCCACCTTTATGCTTAAAGTTTGAATCTATCCTATGTGCCAGTCTGTCAACACTAATTTTTAAACTCTCCTACACATTGGAGGTGTAATGTTTAAAAAATGCATTTTTTTTCCCACGGCCAATTGAATCCTTAAGTGTTTCATGTCACTAGTACCTTAAGAGTGTATATGTCATATATACAGTTGGCCATTTCTAATGACTTTATTGTTAATAAAATAATAGGTGCATATCACAGTCACATGTTGTTGTGTGATCGTCACAAATAATCAGTTGCAGATACTGGAAAAACTGTGATAGATGATAGGAAAAATGTGCCTTGTTGGATTGTATCTACTCCCAAATCACACGCAGGGACAGTTTCACAAAGGTGCAGAAGGAGGGTTTGATATGCAATTTAAGAGCTGAATTCAAGTAATGTAGATGCATTTTTCTAGTGCTGGTTGAGTAGCCTGGTACATAAGAGTAATGTCAGACAAAATAACTTTGCTTCTGCAGGATTCTGTATGTAGAATGTGTAAAACATGGTTCTTCTTGCATGATAAGACGTTTTGCCTTCATTGCTGTATATAAAACGGGGTCTTGGGCTTATGTAAACTTCAGTGAAATCCAAAATAAATCCATCGTGCTTCATGAAATCATTCTACCTTCACACTACTGTAGTCTGTCCAGGTGGTCTGGTGCTATGGCATGGTGTAATCCAGGTGGAATTTGAGCAATAAGGAACTAGGCTACAGGGCAGGGTTATAAAGAGTTTTACAAAACTGCCCCCCCCTCCACAAAACTTCAGAAAATAAGTTTGTCATATGTTACCAGCAGAATACCTGAAAACACCCTTTGTGCCACTCTATGAACACCAAAATAATGGAATTGCTTGGACTTGTACCATAAGTGAATCAGAGATTGTTTATAGGAATCCAAAATTAGAGGAAAATCCAGATCACTCATCCGTGGTAAAATGTCATGTGAGCATGACTGAAATGTACTGCATACACACGTGTTAGAGCACATCATAGAAATATGGGATATTTGAAAAGCAGTTTCAGATTTAATAACATTTCAGTTTTAACTGTTCATTTAAAAGTTGAATAAAAAGTGTAAATTCAAAGAGTTTCCCTTAAAAAATTAACTAAAATATTGGTTTTCCAGGGTTTTTGTAATTCCATCTTATCTAGGTTTTGTAGAGGACTCAGATGTGAATATTCAATCAGCTACCTGTGATAATACCTTACTTAACATACAATATTTTTAACAGTTATATACTGTTTAATCTCATTCTCATACCTCTGATCTTAGACCTGTGTGATTCTGCTGTTGTTTGTAATAGAGAATTTCCATTGACTTCACTGTGAGAGCTCTCCATGGAATGATGAATAGTAGTAATAATATTAATCATTTATATAGCGCTTTATATGTTCGAAATATAGGATAATCTTTAAATGAGCTCAGCTTTGCTCTCAGATATGTGAGTGAATTCTTCATTGATTTGAAAAAAATTGTTACTTTATATACAATTTTTTTTTTTATTTTCTAGTCTTACTAGGTATTTTGGAAAGGGTTTCTTTATTTTTGTAGGGCAGAATATTGGCTTATCTTAAGTTTGACATCTTAAAAGGTTTGCAAAGGACATGTAGGTTGCTGTGGTGTCCTCTGATGATTTCAACTGATAAACTGAATACTTCAAATCCTTTATCTTTGAGCGGACTGCGGGCCATGCTGGAAAGCATGTGTTACTGCCGATGACTATTTCTTATGTATGTAATGGAGTTAGCTTACAAACTACTAAGGTAAGCATTTTTCTAGTGAATTCAAAAATTTTTACCAGTGTATCATAGGCATAAGAATTAACACTAACATTTGGGATTTGCAGTTATCATCCAACTTTTCTAGAACATAAGTAGTTTCTGAAAGCTGGCTTCTGTTTGCAGTATGTAGCAGTCAGCTTTGCAACTGCATGGTTGCTTCATGTATTGGTTTGTTTATTTTCCAAGATTTACAAGTACCATCAACTGTTGCCAAAAGCAGGAGAAATAATGAATAATATTTTTTCTCCCTAATAGCCAAAATTTTGTGTGTGTGTGGGTGTGTTATTGGTATAAATAGCAACTCTTCTTTTGAGTAGAAATAAGACTTAGTTCATAAAGACAGTGAATTGTAGCAGATGCAAGGGCTAACATTTGTTCTTCCCCCCCCTTTCTTGTTTTTTCATAACAGATAATGCTAATTATTCTATGGTAAATGATACTCGGATGTTCTGCAGCAGCAAGAAATTCAATGTATGGGTACCCATTAAAGGCCTGATTCCATTTTCTAACTACACAGTACAAGTGAATGCATCCAACAGCCAGGGCAGCTTGATAAGTGATGCTATAACAATTGTCATGCCTCCAGGAGGTAAGTGTGAAAAAGTGCTTTTTCTGTGCATGTAACAATTACACAAACACTCTGTTGAACAAAACATTATTTATTATCTCAACTGAGGACTGGAATTTCAGAAGAATATGTTTGCATTAGTAGTTCTTACTAACAAAATTTTTCTTTTCGGCTTCTAATTTGTCACACTGTTCACTTTAAGAACTAGAGAATGCAAACAGTTGTATAGTTAACATATTATGAAGGTGAGAGGTGTGTTATGTACTTCATTTTTTTTCTGTGAATGGTGGTGTATTCTATCATGGACAGCTAATCTAGTCCAAGAATATTGAGAGACTCACCTGCATTTTGTAACCTGTTTTAGAATAGAAGTTGAAAGTGCTGACAAGGAGCACTTACTGGATAGACTTAGAGAGTTTGTTTAATAATAGTAATAGAAACCATTGGCAATATATTGAACCCAAATCCACGAAGTAATTTAGTTGTGAGAAAGTCAATTACAATGTGCTGATTTACAGTGAATGAGGCTCTAAACCACTCTGGATGTTATCTTCATAACAATTTGAAATAAGAGAATTGAGCAAATATGCCTTAAACACTGTGAGTGTCTTGTTCTGTGGTTTTGTTTTGCTTGGTGGTTTGTTTTTTTTTTGTCAAGAAAGCTTACATTTATAGCTGGTGTAGGTGTGTCCCTTTTGCATTCCCTTTTCATGGCCATCCTCAAGAATTAGCTTTTGTTGAATAAATGCCAATGGAAACAATTAATTTAAGACAGTTTTGAATTCTAATGTGAGAGCCCAACCAATCTTGATCTTGAAACGTGTGTAGGTGTTGCTGTTGAGTAAGAATAGTGTAGAGTGACATACACACCATTTTAAAGTAAAAGAAAAACAAAAACAAAGAAAAGAGAAATCCCATAAACCTTACAGCTCAAAAATACAGTTAAACTTGAAACGATTTGCTTGCAAACAGATGGATTAGGTTTGGTCCAAACCAGCAGAAAGACTTCAGGAAAGTGAGTAAATACAATACAGAGTTTGTATGACAAAATACTGAGAAATAAGGAAAAGGTCAATTTCCAAAGCATTTTATACTTTTCCAATTTTATTGTCAAGTTGCACCTAATATTAACAAACATTCTTTGTTATATAATAATAAAACTGCATCTGAGTTTCACTGCTCATTTAAGACTGAGCAGTAAGACAATGTTATTTCTAATTCCGGTGCCACATTTTAATTTTGCGTAGCAAAATTTGGTAGTGAAAATTTTACCAAATGACAAAGTAAAGGATCTTTAAAGATAAGCAAGGATGTGCACAGGTTTATGACAGCCATTCAGATAGACTTTCTTTCATCATTAGATTGTTGTTGATTACAATTAGAAAACTTATAGCTTTGAAATTATCTTTTTTATGACCTTGTGGTAGTTTAAAAGCAATACCTCATTGGTTAAATAGGTTTTAGTTCATGCTTCCTTTTAGTTAATGATCTGAAAACATATTATCCTGATTTACACATAAAATCATGCTGAAAAGCATGTGGCATTCACTAGGATATGTGTGTTTAAGTAGAATTAAATTAGCAGTGAGAGTTATTAAAGAAATCTTCCATACTATTGTCCAGTGGACTGTGATCTGTAGTGAAATGAATAATAAATGAAGCAGGGCATATGAGAGAAGTACTCTCTAACACACACTGTATTCTTGCTATATGTGCACACACATACAGACACGCATGTGTATATCTAGGACAAGGTATGTTTGCTTTGCTATGATATTTATTACAATGACTCAATGCTATACAATTCCATTGTATGGTAAATTATGAGTATAATGGTAATTTTACAGTGGACTGTATTCACTGCCTTCACAGTTTGTAAATCATTAAATAAAATCTAGGTGCCACTAAAATAAGAAGAAATTTTATTTTTTACTTCAACGGCCAGGATTTCACTTAGAAATTTTGTTTGATCAAAGAGTAAGAGAGGTCTCATTAGGTACAAAATCATAGCCTTTTAATGAGTGTGAACATGCAGCATTCTCTTTTCAAGGATAAGAAAAAAAATGCTGTTTCAGAAATTTGCATTGTGGGGAGTACTTCATGTAGCTTGATGGAAGATTGTATAAAAGGAAGAGTGATAGAAGACAAAGAATAATTCCTTTTTGAAGTTACCGCTGATCACTGTTTTACAATTGTGATACAGGTTTTTTTTCCAACGTGCATTTCTTTTGTTTCTTTTTTAAATTTAAGACATATTGCACATATGTCTTAATGTAAAACATGCCAAATCCTTAGTGTTACCTGACTGAATGTATCTTAATTTCTTATCAATCTTATTTGCCATGCTTTAAGTCAATGCTTGAAAAAAACCTATTAGAAATAAGGAATTTATTTTATCTAAGCTCTTGACTAAAATTGCAATACAGGTTCAAGAGTTCTTGGAAAGATTAAAAAAATAAAAACTGAATCCAAATGTTAATCCATAAATATGAAACTTTCTTTTGACCCTTACCCTGTAGTGGACTGGAGTTACTAATGGGGTTAGGATTTCAACTCTTAATGGGACTTGGTGCATTAGTGTTTGGTATGCATGGAATTCAGCATTCAGTTTAATAAGTGGTTGACATTGGTGATGTCCCTTAATTTGCTTAAATCTAATTGGCTCTTTTATCAGTCAAACCTGTATGGATTGGCAATTGATCAGAAAGGGTCAGCCATGACTGTGCATGTACTTAAATGCTGGAACTACCAGTTAAAGTCACTGTTGCATAATAAGAAGCTGAAACCATGAGAACAAATGATCTTCAGAGTCGGAAGGCAAAAGAAAGCAGAGAAGTTTTTCAGGATGTTCAAGTTCAGAACAAAGGCATTATGGAGTATATAAATTTTAAATACACTGCTTTTTGCCTCAAGACTTAAAGCTTTTTTTTCCAGATGAACTGAAATCTTGTCTGAAACTGTCTTTGTTACATCAAAGAACTGCATGGAAAGCTAAAAGAGATGGAAGAAGCATAAAAGGGCATAGTTTAAAATGATTAGTGACAAATTTCATACCGCAGAGGTAGAAGTAAATTTTTTTGAGTTTTACATTTTTTTGAAAAGGAATAAATTTGCTCCATTTATCTTGTCCTAAACTGCTTTGGTGGAAGTTGTAAAAAAATAGCATAGTAGTCAGTGCTTCACATTAATTTGAAGTTACCAAGCAGTAAAAAATCTGGAAAACAAATTTCTTTAGAATTAATTTAATTAGGTAAATGAATTGAAGTGATGCAGAGGATGTAAAACTGCAAAATTCTGGGAGAAAATCTTCTGCATGGCATTCTTGGCTATACATTTTTCTTCTCAACGAGTCCTATTTCTGATAACGTGGCAGATATAAGATCCCATTATTTTAGGATTGCTTTGTAATAAGGGATGGTAAACTAGCAGAAAATAAATTTGCAATCACTGCTGATAATACTCCAGTTAAATCCATTTGTTCCCTTCCTCTGACCATCAAAGCCCTAGTATGGAGGGGAATGAGAGGTCCTCTGTGCAGAAAGGAGAAAGATTATGTTGAAATAGGGGCGAAGAGAGATAGCAGAGAAAGACTGGCTGCTGCTCAGATGGGAAGCAGGAAGGTGAGGTTCAATCATCACCTACAAAGAACAGAAAAGGACTGGATTCCCAAGTCATAATAAGAGATATGAAGATTGTCATGGATGCTAATTCTGTATTGCCTTGCAGAGTTGTCTCTATGTGGGTTCTTGGTGCTGACTCATCTACAGAGCAGAACCTCAAAGAATTGGTTTATATTTCCTATGTAAAACATAAAAGGGAAGATACTTCGAAAAAAAATTGCCTAAATAGTGAGGTGCTTCTTTAAGCTCTTATATACTCTGTCTGTAATTTGCACAACATAGGAATATTTAGCAGTGAAAGATGTTAGATTTTGCTTTGGACTCTTAAGCACCTGCCCTTTTCTGGCCGCTTGTTTGCGTATGGAATACTGCATGCCTCTCCTATAAGCTTGGGCTTGTTCTCAGCAGCCAAAATTGAGCCTACATACCTGTAGTTGCTGATATTTGTTCAATATCTACAGGAGATGGTGTCCTGCAACCAGGGGATTTCAGCCACTGTTAATTTAGATAGCAACACCTCTGAGACTGGATGTTGAACGTCATCATAGGATCCCTGATCTAATCATGCAAACGAGTAGGAATCTCATCATACAACTTATATTTGCACCTGAAAGAATTTTTTCACGCAAGTGGATCACTAAAGCCAACAGGTCTCCTTAGAGGAATTCAGTAAAGACAGCAAGCTGATGTTAGGTCAGAATTACTTGGGAAAAAAGATTAAACCTGATTTTTCCCTGTGAGATAGATTTGTTTTTCCATTTTGCTTAGTATTGCATTGAGAGTCACATCATAAAACTTTTTTTGAAAGAATTTCCTTTACATCAAATTTCAGCCCTTTAGATACATCAGTTGTTATTCTGTCTTCTCCTTCTTTTTCTCTCTCTCTTTTCTCTCTCTTCTTTCTCTCTTTTCTTTCTCTCTCTCTGTCTCTCTCCTCTCTCTTCTCTCTCTCTTCTTTTTCTCTTCTTTGCCTTTCCTTCTTTCCTCCAGGATTCTTTTCCAACAGTATTCTTTTTGTTCTATGTCTTCTGTTTCTTTTTCATTTTTCTTCTCTTATATTCTCTTATATCACTTCATGTGAATTTGAAAAGAAAAATTAAAAGTAGTTTTTTAAAAAAGCTCATTGTGAAAAAAAATCACATTTAAAAATATTCCAAATTCTCAAACATTTGTATGATATCTATCCAACTTCAGAATAATGTAATCTCTGATTTTGATGAAGAGCAGGAAATGTTTTAAACAAAGTTCTTAAATGAAAAGTTGTGACCATTTCTTTTCTAGAGGCAGTTTAAGGAGAGAGCAGAATAGAGCAGGGAGGAGAAGAGAGCTCTCCTACATCTCTCATCGATGACCTAGCTAATTAAATAGTGTCAGTGGCAAGCTGTGTATTGTCCATTCCAG